CATTTAGAGTTCACGTTATGTTGTGGTATAATCTAATTTTAATATCACCGATCTTTTAGAATTAGACCTACATTTTTTATTTTTGACCAGTTTCAGAGCTCGGGTGTTTTCCGAATTTTTAACCACAAAAAGTTACCAGTTCTGTTCCTAATTTGCTTGATTTGGCTGAAACCAAAACGTAATTAGAGTCTACAAAAATTAATTTGAATAAAATTTATAATTGCAAAAACTTGCTAATATGTTATTAAAAAATTCAGCTATAGCAATATGAATAAATATACATAAACTAAAATGTAATTTTGTTCATCATTCTGAAGTTTTACTTAATTAAAGGATCTTACTCAAATATAATCCTAGGAATTATGAAACTATTACGTTCCCTTATTTTTTAAATAGGCTTTATATTAATACATGTAAGAGAAAACTCTAATTTAAGATTCAGATTAAATAAAACTGAACTGTACACTCTGTTTTTGTAGGGAAAAAATTTCTTTTTTTGTATACACATGTTTCGAGGAATATTCACACGGAGTCTTTTTTCATGGAATAAAAATATTCTGTACTTTTTTAAATAGGAAATGCGAATATTAAACGGAATAAAAGTAAATAAATATAGGAAGTGACGATTAAAGCTGTAAATGTTGAACAGAATAGAAGTGAAAAGATTAAGTATTCCGAAAAGAAAACGATTTTAACAAAAATTGTACATTAAAGTTGACAGACGTCATCTAATCTGAATTAATTGAAAGGCTTCAAAGATATTTAATTATCTAGAGCTTTTATGGATAATTTACAGATGCTTAGTGGAAGTAGTTAAAATTAAAAGGGTAATTAAGTAACGTATTAAGTACAATTAATAATGTAAATAACATATTCTAAATAGTATCATATGTTACTTTAAACATAGATACACTACCCTAAAAACTAAGTCTTAAAAATAAGTCTTTTAACAAAGTCTAACACACTTTGTTTTCATTAGATTTATAGTCCAAAGAGCAAAGAGAGAGACGGTAATGCAATAAGTAAATAAATAAATAAACACTCACCCCTGAACCCCCCCCCCACAATTATTGGTGCGGAAAATGCTTCCTCGAGAATGCGACTTGTGAATTACGACTTGTGACTTACGAATTACGTAAAATGACAGATCAAGGGACAATGTGTGTGTATGTGATTATGGCAAAGTCTCGAGGGATACCTGCCTAAAGAGAGGGATGCCTTCGTGGAGGACTTTTTAAGGAAAACTGGCTCGTATACACGTTACACTACCAGTGTTCAGCGACTTTACCGCTCGGCCGCTGGTTGGCCCCAAGGGACAATGAATGTGAGATCAATTATTTATATGGAATTTCATTCGGGACCGAAAATAGCAAACAATATATGCAGGAGGGAACGCTTTAGATCGAGGTTCTGGTGCAAATATTATAAACCCAAAATCCTGGTGGTGACGAATTTGCATCCATCACCTTTTAGTTCAGGCGCCACTAGTACACTCATTAGCAATGTTGAAGCAGCAGACGTGAAAAAGTGTACAATAGCCTCGTCGGGTTTCGAATATCGGATCTTCCGATTGCTAGCCGGATGGGCTATCCAATTACACCACAAAGGCACTTCAGGAAGAGAAAAATACTTTATACTTTTCTACTTTTCTTAATAAGATGCAAAATATCCTTAATTTTTTGTGAGCATGACATATAAATTGATTTTTGCATTATTTGACGTGTAATTTTTCTGCTGGATATTATCACGGACATTAGAAATTACCTCAGAGATGGGCATGAGCCTAGATAGTATTAGCCTAAAAAATAAACTTCGTGAAAATATGGGAAATTTGTTAAATAATAGAAAGAGAAAATTAGCTAACAAGGCTTCTTGTGTTTGCTTTTAATGACGATCGCATTAAATCAGTTTTATTCTCGTAATCGGTTTCATTTACGACGTTTAGTAAACTACCAAATCAAACATTGTAGCTTAATAATAAGTTTATTTTGCAACAGTTTAGCTCGCGAGCATGGCGTAATTGTTATTAAAATGAAACGAACAGCACTGAGTACTTTAAAATCCAACGAAAGTGGGTTTATTAAAAAAAAAAAAAAAAAATGTTTCGTAAGCTCTTTTATAATTAAAAGAGGTGTTATTTATTGCGATTAAAGGTATCAGTTTCTTTTACAGACCTTCTTACTTGAGTAATATCAGAACAAATTCAACTGAAATTAGCTCTTTTTTTTAGGCAGGGGAATTTAGTTAAACCGTAATAAATCTTCGTTAAAATACTGCAACATCTTAAGTTCTTCAGGCGCTTACGGCAACTTTTATCATAATCCGAACTATGATTTCATTGCTTCCCTTTGTGTTCATGTAAGAGTTCGAGGTATATAAACAGAATAATGATATATATAAAAACAATGAAGTCATCATTTATATATAGTAACATTTTATAATAATCTTATTAGTATTTGGAAGTATTGATAAATTACAAATAAACATAACGCTCCTCTCTGTTGCGATGCTAAATAAAGTTTTGTGTAAATTGGAATGACGCATCATAGATGCCATGTGGTTGACAATGGGTCCTCGATTTTCGGTACTACCTTTATTCCCATCCCCTTCTTTCATGGCCCACCAGCGGCCGAGCGGTAAAGTCGCTGAACACTGGTAGTTCGGTCCGAGGTTCGAATCCCGCGAACGGGATGGCTGCATGGGTGTTTTCGTGGTTTTCACCATGTGTAACGTGTATACGAGCCAGTTTCCCTTAGAAAGTCCTCCACGAAGGTATCTCTTCCCTTAGGCAGATAGCCCTAGTGTGCTTTGCCAGAATTAAATACACCACCTTCTTTCATGATACAAAAGTATTCGTGACTGTTTTAAGCATTTCGTGTAGAAAGTAGTTAATGATATTTTAGGTATTATAAAAGTCTCATTCGTGTAGTCTTATAATTCAAACTATGTTTAATTTAAAAAATATAGAACAGCATAATATTAGATTTTAACATAAAGAAGTGCCAAAGTTTCCCAAACCCTAAATTTTGGTTTAGTTTGCCTAGATTTATGATCTTTCATGTGGTATCAACTGTCTGTGCATTTCAGTTTTTATGGTTCCAAAAAATTATGAATACCGGGTATATATGACAATACATTCGTCCACCTTAATTAAACTTAAATAATTAGAATAGGTTTCCTTTACAGATCTTAAATTAAATTGTTGCACTCATAAGTATTAACGTATGTGCTAGTACTAATATACTAGCAATCTTCAATAAAACGTCGAAATTGGTAGATATTTGAAATATGTTTTCTTACAATACGCTTCAATTTCTCCTGTTTTTACCCCCCCCCCCCAAAAAAAAAAAAAAAAAATTCTTTGATGCACTCGTCTTTGGAAAGCATGATGTACACTATCCGATATAAATTCGGACTCTGTTGGCGTAAAATAAAAAAATTTTTCTCTTACGCTATTAGCATAATCTAGATTTAGATTATTTTTAACAGCACAATAGGAAGCGGATGAAATCAGGCTGACAGCATTCCCTTTGAAACTATGAAATCCCCCTCCCAGGAGGAATTTCTTCCTGGTTGAGAATGCCTGACCTAGTTTACTATTTTTACTAGAAATTTCGATTTCTTAATCCATGAGTATTTTGCTTTCATTTGAGAAAAAATGCTTTCTGAAAACATCTTCCATATAACACATTGGCTTATCAAAGTGATAATTGGGCACTTTGCACTGTTCTGAATAATCAAATGAGGTTTTATTTAATTTTGCAGATTTACAGAATAACTTAAAAAAAAAAAAAAAAAAAAAAAAAAAAAAAGATACATAAATAAAGCAAGCCAAAAAAGTATGCCATTATGCAGTTTGAGTGAAATTCATAATCATTTACACGTGGTTACCCTATTTTAATCAGAAAACCCTATTTTAATCAGAAACTTATTTTAATCTTAGAAACCCTATTTTAATCAGAAAAATATTGCTTTTCTATCTTACGGCCACGAAGGACGCGAAGTATTTGTATTTTATAACTGAAGAGCAAATTCAATGAACTTGTTTGAAAATTTTAGAAAATTTGCCGCGTTAGTTAGCCAACCTGCAGCTCCTTCTTCTTGCTGGGAAATTTTTTCTTCAAAATTATGATAGATCGCCAATTCGGGAAAGCTGTCGCCAAGTACGTCGCCGCAGTTTAATATCCTCTTCCATACGCTTGGCTAAGCTTTGTCTTTTACAGCGCCATGGTTGCGCGAGAGGGGGAGAGTCAGCATTACGCAATTTTTAAAAGACGGGCACGATGCCGTTCCAGCGAATCACGACCCCTCTCGTATCCGGACAATGTACAACGAAGCGGCAAAAATGGGAAACGTTTAGCGATTGGGCTCTTTTGCGTCCGCGAAAACAAATGTGGACATTTTTCGGTTATGAAATTATTCTCCCGGCTGAGGAAGATAATGCATGAAAGAAAGTACAAAGTTGCTGAGTGTATATGAATGCTAGTGGACGTTTAATGTAGCATTTCGTATTTTATGGGTTAGCATTATTAGCCGATATATTACTTTTTTTGTGGTCGGTTATTTTATTGTTTTGAAAAAGCATTCGTTTATCTTTCACCGCCGTCAATAGATCAGATTAAATATGTATGTATCTCGAAAGACTTAAATACAGCTGAAGTCTCCTGAAAGACGATAAAGAGTTATTCTAATTGAAAAATACCGTGAGATAGTTGCATACAAAAGCTGATTATTGCAGTCATAATTATACTTTCTTTAAGACTATATATTTTTAAGTAAATCGAAACTGATTTAAAAAAATAGGCTATATTTTTTCCAAGAAAAATATGGAATATCTTTTTCTGTTGCAATGCATTAATAAGTTTATTCCCGTTTAATAACAGAATAGAATAAATAATCAAGATTTTTGAAACAAATATATATTCAAATATATATGTATTGGCATCATGTATAAAGTATCATACGAAAAATACGGAAGCAAAAAAAAATTTTTTCTTTACCTGTCAATTCTAACATTAGCATGGACTGGTGACCTGATTGAGTAGAGTTTTCGTCCGCAACGTTTTCTTGCTGGAAACAAACTAATATTAATGAAAATTTATAAAGTTCAGTTGCAAGGTATATGACATTTTTTTAAAGGTAGAATTGATTTTAATTTTATGGCAAAGATTGTTTTTGATACAGGGTATAATTAAATGCCCTTTGCTTTTTAATTTGTCGTGAAAATATTGATGAAATACAAATCAAATTAATAGGAAAGTTACTAGACTTAAAACTAAATTAAGACCAAAAATATTCAGATTAAAACAAAAATGAAAATAGAAAGAAATGCAGTTTATTTTTCTTTCTTTCTTTCTTTCTTTTTTTTTTTTTTTTTTTTTTTTTTTTGCTTCATCCTTATTGCATATTTGAAATGTACACATGAAATAACTGGTATGAATAAACTTTTTCCTGCTAAAATGTGAAATAGATGCTTCTACTGCAACTATTTGTGTTAACTTCAAACTTCAAATCATATATTAATTTTTTACCTTAGGACTGCATAGTTGGTTTCCTCTCTGAATTTTCCAAGAATGTTTTGTTTCTTCAAAGCATTGTCGTTTCGTCCTATTTCCACAGCCTGCAAAAAGTTGAATTTGTAAGAATGACAGTTTTAACAAAAATCTAAGAAATGAAACACAAACTTTAAAAAAAAAAAAAAAGGAAAGAAAAGTTCTTTCCTGCTTCCTATCCTAAGAATCCTAAAACTTCCTAAAAACTATAGTGCAATTATAAAACAAAAGCAATATATTGTTACATTTTTATTTAATAGAATTAGACATATCCTATTACTTTTGTAACAAACATTATTTTCAAGCTCAGTAAGAAACATAATATTTTAATTATTTATTTTTGGAAAAATTAATCACAGTTTGAATTTAATGTATTTTAAACTTTCAATTGTTTTTGGAAACAATGTTTTCGATCACTTTTGCCAAACGCTGTGTACAGTCTATCTGGGTGTTGAAAAAAACTGGATAATTAGGTTTTAATTTCTCTATCGAATAAATGTATTTACCGGGGTGTAAGTGGAAGTGTAAGTTACTTTTTATTTATATTTTTATTTATTTATTTATTTATTGCTTATTTAAAAAAGTTACATAATTATGTATATGTATGTCTCGTCTGGAAGTTGAACAGTAAGTTTAGATGCATAAAATTTTTTAGGCTTGCATTTGTATTTAGATGTCTATTTTTTTTTTTTTTTAACTTTTCATATTGGTTAAATATCTAATTCCTATGTGCACAAGTTTCTGAGCATATTTTATTGCATTGCTTATTTTGTTTTACGCCTTTTCTTTGGTCTTAATTTTCCCCCTTTTCAGCATTATTATAAATATGACCCATTATCCCGTAGGGAAAATACATATTTAAATTTTAAATTATCTTAATTTTTTTGTTTTTCTGTATAGGGAAAGTAATTTATCAGTTTGTATTAAACGATCGATTGTGAAGAAAACGCGATATTGCCCAAATTATTGCGCATCTGCTAAAGGAAAATTATTTCCGCTTGAAAAGTCAATTTTCCTTTGGTAAGAAAACAATAATTTAATTTTAATTTTTACGTTTGTGTCTATTATACATTTTTTTAACATTTCTGTTTCATTTGTATAATTTTATAATATATCATACATAAGTTCAGAACACTTTAATAACATTTTTAATTTTAATAACCATTAGGTTACTACTCGTCAGCCCAATTTGACTTTTGTATCTTAAACTTCAAAACAGGTTGAGTTGCATATTAATTTAATTTAATTAAGTTACAGTAATATTGAAATACTGTTCCTATAAGGTAATAATTAAAGATTTACTGTGCATTTTAAAAGGGCTTTTTAGTAGTATAATTAAATTTAGAACATGAAAGCGAGGTATTTTTTTGAATACTTACCTCCTAATCTGTTAATTCTGTTTGCCCTCACTCTTAAATATGTCTGAAAGAGAGGGAAAAAATGCTTAAAACTTTATGCAATCGAGATTAATATTTAGAGATTAGAAGTATAAAATTTAATTTTCAAAGCCGTAGAAATTTCTACAGCTATGTTCTATAGCAAAATTGAGACAGCTGTATTCTTAAGCTGCGGAGTATTTTCTTATTTTACACATTATAATTCTTAAATATTTGTATTCCGAAACGTTAGCTATAAATTTTATCGATCGAATTAAATTGAATTTTTTGTGTCGTACTAATAATAACAGTTTCAAAACGAAATGTTATATTATACTGTATATTTACAAAGTCTATAATCCAAATCTTACCAGTCTAGCTTGAAACTACAGTAAATTCAAAGTTAATATTATTTTTTTAATATATTTTTCCTGAAACAAAATCTTAGTGTTAATTAGTTTCCTGCCCGAAAGATTAAATCATATTTTAAGTGCTTTTAATAACGCACCGAATATATGCTATGAAAAACATAAGCAATATCTATCTTTTTAAGTCAAAAGGGGCAATTTCCAAAGAAGGACTGTTAATTTCGTTTTGGTATTTTAAGTTGATTCACTACAAGCTTTGTTTCACATTTCAAATTGTTGCCAGCAAATATTATCGCCCTATATTATATTTAAAGAATTTAAATAATGAAGAATCTGCATAAATGTATGTATGTTTCTCGCATTGTGATAAAACAACGGTATGTAGAGCCATCGAATTTTGAATAAATTCTCCTGCGAATATGGGCATCTGGAAGCCCAAATTTTGAATTTGTTTTATTGTCGATTTAATATTTTGTAAAACTTGAGTTTGTTAATAAAAAATTCGCCCAAACGAATTTTAGCTTAATAAACTCAAGGATTCCTAAGCGAGCAATGGCAACGTTGTACAGAAAAAACAATTTTATCTCCAGCATGCAAGATATTGTATTGTGTCAGAAATTCTAAAGATATGCTCATTTTAAAATTATTTTGCGATATTGCTCATGAACCGAATTTCATGGTTTAAGTGCGAAGAACATGATATTTAATAAATAAAAGGTAACACACAAAATGTTAAAAAAACGCCCCTTTGAATGTAATTTAAAATCTGAAACCTTTCAGTTTTTTTTTTTTTTTTTTTTAACAGAACAATAAGTGTCTCATTTTTGTCTCATTTATTTCAAGTGCTGGCAAACAATGTGTTCGAAACAAAGTTCTGTAGAAATACTTAAAATTTCTATGATGCATAGTTTATTTATTTCAAATGAAGATGTTTATTATGTTACACACAATAAATTGCTTTACATTACTTTCAGTAATAGCACATTAAAAAAATTCTGAAAATTTTCTGATTTAAGTTTAACTAAAAAGTTTAAAATTGATTCCGAATTTTGCAAGCTTTTTTATCATGTATTTAAAACAATTCATTTTAAAATATTGATCCAGCATTTAATTTATTAGAAAACAATTTTAATGAAAGCAGAACTTTTTTTGTATCATGACATATAAGCGACTTATTCTTACTAAATGAGTCTTAGGTTTCTTATAAAATATTTAGTTTTAATATGTTTAATTTATTCGGAAATTATCTAATAAATATTTGCTAAATAATAAGAAATGAATGTGAATAATTAGCTCAAGATCTATACAGAAATTATTGTATTTTTCTGTTTTAAAAGTATCACAAGCAAGAGTAGAGAATATGGGCAAAACTAAAATTAAGAACTGATGAACTATTTATTTCCGTTTCAATCTCAAGTTTTTTTACCCTGAATGCCAGTTTTTCCTGAAAATATTTTGCAGAAGAAAAGTGTTTAACATTTAAAAATTCCCTCGAACTACTTCAAATTCGAAAGTGAAAATAATCGCTAAGAGATTTTAGGAAAATTTTATCTCTTTTTAATTTTTTAATGGATCTTATGTAACCGAAAAAACGTCAACATTATGCCTCACATCTAACTTAAAACTAGAGTTATTCATCAAACGTTGAAATTTCTTGCTTTATATTTATTCCCTCTCCCTTCTAAATTTGATTCTTTGAATACTTTAAAAAATTTCAAAATACAGAACTTGGCTTACTTACTTCTTTTCTGAATTCTGGGCATCTCTTTTCAACATCATGATAAGACTGTAAACGTAAGGTATCCATCTACAAAAGAAGGCATGATTTTCAAGTGATCGTTTATTTAATTTAGTTAACTTTTGGTACAAAAGATGGCGCTACATGCACTTCTAAACGGTTTCATTTTCCATTTCTTCGACAGTAATTAAATAATTATTTCTGTTATTATTCGGTCATTATTATTAAGACCTCATTAAGTAAATAAATTTACCAAAATTGAGTTGAATGAAATTCATTAACTATATTTAATGAAAGTAGTTTCATTACTGCTATTTATTTATAAAATTTCTTTACGAGTTCTTAATTACATCAGTCAAATATAACAGTTGTATTCTAAAACAAGTTAAAAAAAAGCCCACTTATTATTATTATTATTATTTATGCTGTAAAATGAGGTTTTACCTGTTCTGCATTATTTTCTTCTGGGTTTAACCATTCCTTTTTTCTAAAATATAAACAATCAAAATTAACTAAATAAATAATACAATTTATATAAAAAACAAGGAAATAAAGAGATCGGCTCATTAAATAAATGATTTTAACTGTAATATTTGTATACTGCATTAAATATCATTGATCCTAGAAATTTAAATCAATTTTTCAATTTAATTAGCATATATATTATTGATTGTCTGCTGTGACATAATTTTTATAGGAAGTAAACTGTTATGACGAAATTTCAAAATATTTAAAATTACCTCATTAGTTCATTCAGCCTGTCCAACTCCATATGATAATGATCGGTCAAATCTTGAAGTGCTATTGTCCTTCCACAAATAGGGCATATAGGAGGTTGACTAGAATCACACGTCCACCTGGGTATCACTATCAAAACATTCTCTTAATAATTTCAGAAAATATTGAATAAATTAAGCATGTTAAAACTAAGTACTTGATAAAGAACATTTAGCACGAATAAGTAGCATTTATTTCATTAAAATAACCGTGCTTTTGGATCAATAATGTTTTAAATCAATATTTTAATATATATTGTTTTAAATATATGACAAAAAAACTTACAAAATTAGAAAACAATCGAAATTTTGCTCGCTTAAGAGAAATACACAAAATAAACACTTTGTCAGGAGTGGGGTTCGAACCCACGCTCTCTTTCGAGAACCAGAGCTTAAATCTGGCGCCTTAGACCGCTCGGCCATCCTGACTACGGCAGGTGTTGCTTAAAACTTATTCTGTTACATGTGGGACATTTGTATGTATAATATATTATTTTGTTGGGCGTTTTGCCGGGTGACGGTTTTGCAGGCACCTCGGACGTCTACAGATATGATTTCGAAATCTTCACATCTTATTATTATTCCTAAATTAATATAATATGTTCATTTTCTGTAAGTATACTAACGCTGATATCTTTCTAAAAGCAGAACTTCTTGAAAAAATGTTTCAAATGTTAATAAATTACTATTTATACAATTAATTAAATTAACTAAACACAATGCCAAAAATAAATTATTCTGTATATGTCACACATATTCATGGATTTTAATTATGCCAGTCCTGAATAATTCTGACTTAAAGTATATATTCTAATAATATTTAAAAAATTCTTTTGACTTCCGAACGATCGAAAGAAAACGCGTTTGACCGTAGATTTTGCTTTTTAAGAGAGAAGAATGTAAAATTTAGACCGGGTATTTTTAACAATTCAAGGAATGTCATACGTATTTAGTTGATTTTATTCGATGCGCTGCCAGTCGGTAAGATTTAAAATATGTCACTTACATTCAGTATTATGAAATTTGCTGCTTATCATCGTAAAAAATTATTAATTTAAAAGGCAATTTGCATTTCTTAACAATATTTTACAAAATAAGGTATTCAACAAAACAGAGCTCACATTCAAGATAGTCTTGCATATATTCTAATTTTCATCCATACACAGAATGTTTTTACATCAAATATGGTTTATAACGCTAAAAAGGTCGATTGCAAAATTTCTGATTCGTCTTACACTATCGTCTGCATCAAATCATAGAATTTAACGGTAACAGTGAAATTGTGCAGCAAGATATAAACTGCGATGTTCTCTCTGTGTGTCTCTCCTGTTTTTATTATTATTATTATTTTATGTCAAATGGCAGTCTTTTCTATGTACTTATTTATTTATTAAAGTGGTAATATTTTTTTGAATAATTTTCAATTTATTTTCTTTTTTACGTTCAAAATATAAATAGAGAAACGAACTCCGAAGATTTAATATATGTCTATAAAAATTTGAAAACTTTCAGATTCAACAGCAACATAACAAAATATTTAAAAACAGCAAAATAGCATATCTTTAGTATTTCCGCTACATAGTCTCTCGCGAGCCGGAGATAAAAATGTATTTTTCCGTACTATGTTCCCATTGCTCACTTTGAAATCGTTGACTTTGTTAAACAAAAACTCGTTAAAGTTTTACAAAATATGAAATAGATAATAAAACAAATTCGAATTTCGGGTATCTGGAAGTCCAGATGCCCATATTCGGGTGGAAATGTGCGTTATTCAAAATTTGGTATCGTTGTTCTAGGTACCATTGTTTTATCACAATACGAGAAACACACATACATTTATGCATATTCTTCATCATTAAATTTCTTTAAATATAATGCAGGGCTCTAAAATTTGGTGGCAACAATTTGAAAACTAAACCGGCCTTTATATTGAACCAACGCAAAATGTCAGAACAAAATAATAGTCCTTCTGGGCAAATCGCCTCTGGACTTAAAAAAAAAAATGGAAAAAAAAAAAATGAAATGTTTCAGATTTTAAATTACGTCCAAAGGGGCGTTTTTTAACATTTTGTGTGTTACCTTTCTTTATTAAATATCATGTTCCTCGCACTTAAACCATAAGATCCAGTGCAACAGCAATATCGCAAAATAGTTTTAAAACGAGCATATCTTTAGAATTTCCGATACAGAGACTTACGCGCTGGAGATAAAAATGTTTTTCTGCACAACGTTGCCATTGCTCGCTTTCAAATCCTTGAGCTTGTTAATCAAAAATTCGTCAAAGTTTTAAAAAATAGGAAATCGATCATAACACAAATTTCAAATTTGGTCTTCCACATGCTCATATTCGTTGGAGGATTACGTTATTCAAAATTCGATGACTCTATGTACCGTTATTTTATGACAATGTGAGAAATATACATACATTTACGCAGATTTTCATTATTTAATTTCTTTAAATATAATGCAGGACTCTAACATTTTATGGCAACAGTTTGAAAAGTGAACCGACATTTATCCGTCCGACGCAAAATGCCAAAACGAACTAATAGTCCTTCGGGACTCAAGTCCCTTTGGACTAAAAAAAAAAAAACCGAAATTATTATGTTATTTAAATTGCGTCTGATAGAAAAGCTTTTCTTTTATATCTTGGGATATTTATATTTTTAAATGCTTTTAGTTTACATTTCTTTAATGATAAAATTTCATGTGAAATATTATACTGAAATTAAAACCTTTTCTTATTTGTTTGTTTGTTTTTTGTAGCCCAAAAGGAGCTATTTAGTCTTGAAATAGGATTTTGCGTTAGTTCACTATAAATGGTGTATCAGTTTTCAAATTGCTGCCACCAAATAATATCGCCCTGTGATATTATTAAAGAAATTATATGATGAAGAATCTGTATGTGTGTATGTATGTATCTCGTACTGTGAAAAAAGGAGAGTACCTAAAGCCAAATTTTTAATGAGGAAGTTCTCCACCAGACATGTGCCTAGAAGCCCGAATATGGAATTCAAATTTTTATGTTTTATATTTTGTAAAACTTTAATAAATTTTTGAGTATGAAACTCAACGATTTGAAAGCGAGCAGTGGCAACAGTCTTTGAAATGAAACTTTTTTATATCATTATTTAGACTGTTGCCATTCGGAAAAATATAAAATATTTATCTTTGAATTTTAATTAACAAACTATGGAAGGAATTTGTTGCTGCTGCCCTAAATAAAATATTTTTATCTTCTACGCGCCATCGTCTTGCCATTCAGTAAAGCCTAAGACATTTTCAAATTTTATCTGGAATGTTACTTACTGATAAACTAAGCTAATTAAATGCCATAAACACAGTCTTTAAGAATATTTTTTCCTACTTTTTTATGTGATTTGATTTTAATAAACATGTATTAAATTCACGAGATGTCTAATTGGAAATAATCATTGTTTTTACGAAATTAGTCTAACTGGAGTCATTAAAATCATTATATACTTTTCTTTTTTATAATAACTATTCTGGAGGCTGGTCGCGCGTGTAGCTAATTCTTAAAGAAATAATATAGCGAATATAAAAATATGTATGGCAATCTCTAACACTCAATGCGGAATTCTAAAGATATGTTTTTAAATATTTTGTAATTCTGCTGCTGAACTGAATTTTATATGGCGTAAGCGCCAAGAATGCGATATTTAATAAATAAAGTAAACGCACAAAAAGTTAATAATAAGAAAATAACTTGTTGTTGGTCATCTTATTCATAAAACTAAATATTGATATGATGAGCTAAGAAAAGACTGAAAAACGATATAAATGTATGCCAATATTTAGCACTGCATCTGGAATTCTAAACATATGCTTCTATGCAACTTTGAAACATTTTGTGATTTTGTTGTTGAACTGTATGGTCTTGTACTTAAATGAGAAGAAATTTATGTTTTTATTAAAAAAATAATAAATAAATAAAAATCCGAAATGTTTCAGATTTTAAATTACGTCCAAAGACGCGCTTTTTTAACGTTTTGTGTGTTACCTTTATTTATTAAATATTACGTTCTTTGCACTTAAACCATAAAATTTAGTTCAATAGCAATGTCGCAAAATTATTTTAAAATGAGCCTATCTTTAGAATTTTCGATACACAGTTCGACGCAATAGAAATAGAAAGGTTCCCCCCCCCCGTAGAGTGTTTCCATTGCTCGCTTTTAAATCGTTGAGTTTGTTACTCAAAAATTCGTTAAAGTTTTACAGAATATGTAATCGATCATAAAACAAATTCCAAATTTCAAATTTGGGTTTTCAGATGCCCATATCCGCAGGAGGATTACGTCATTCAAAATTGGATGGTTCTAGATACCGTTGTTTTATCACAATGCGAGAAATAGACATATATTTATGCAGACTTTTCATTATTTAATTTCTTCAAATATAATGCAGGACTCTAACATTTTGTGGCAACAGTTTGAAAAGTGAACCGACATTTATAGGAGTCGGACGCAAAATGCCAAAACGAAAGTAATACTCCTTCGGGGACTCAAATCCCTTTGGACAAAAAAAAAAAAAAAAAAAAAAAAAAAAAAAAAAGCAGGAATGATTACAAGAGCAAACTGGTAGACTGCAAGCTCAACAAGCATGTCAAAAAACCTTAACAAATCCTTTTGGTGACCATTAAAATTTGGAACCTGTCGGATTTTTTTTCATTTAAAAATTATATTTATTCTGATTTTTGGCAGAGAGAAAATATGCATCACTTGTTATTTTTTCTGCGAATTCTGAACAATTTCTTATAAATTAAAATACATAAATAACACATTTATTTATTTATTTATTTATTAAAGGAAAAACGTTAACGTTACTTCGAAAAACGTTAACGCTTGTAACTAAAAATTTATGCAACTGATTTATTATTTTCAAACCGCTTAATCTAAATTAAATACTTCAACTAACATCTGGTACTCTAAATTCGGTTCTGCTTAATTTAAAAAATCAGAAGTAACACTTTTTTTAATTAAATTACGCGCTTTTCTGAAAATTAAGGATACCACCCATACGTATTTAGGATACAATAAGTAAAAAATGTTGAACTATAATGAAACTGTAAAA